GAAGTGCGTGGCACTATCGGCAGTGGAAGCAGAACTGGTCGCAGCCTCCGAAGCAGCAAGAGAAGCACTCTTCTTCTCACATTTACTCAGGGATCTAGGAGTATTCGGAGTCAAGCCAACGCTGCGCACTGATAGCCAGGGGTGCATACAAGTCAGTAAAGATCCGGCCAAACACTGGAAACTCAAACACATCGATACCAGATACTACTTTGTTAGGGATCATGTGCAAGATGGTGACATATCAATCGAGTTCGTCGGAATGGCCAACAATGTGGCTGACATACTCACGAAACCTCTCAAGGGACTCAACATGACAAGGATATCAAGAATGATAGGATTGGATATGCCATTGAGGGGGGGAGTTGAAGATGCACCGACATCGCCAACGCATGATGTATTAAATAGGAGCTCACAGGATTGGGGAATCAGGAAGGCATCAGGTGATGAGGAGGACAAGCAGAATGTGAAGCTAGTGGGAGCTAACACAGCCTATGCATGAGGATTGACACCATGGTATGCAGGGAATATGTTGATATGACAACACTTATGAAAGAAGATACATGGCACATGGGCATGACTCAACATAGGGAGCACAGTCAGGTGCCGAGAATATGTATATATGCCCTTAGCTTAGTTGTTACCTCCTTACAAAATTTAAGCCTTTCACATAGTAGCATCAGACTAAAGGAGTGCCTGACCGTGGCCTCCTGAGTGGTGTATCTAATTTCAACTGGAGGTCATGTTGAATGAGCGCAAGGAAGAGGGAGTGAGCAAAAGTGCGATGAGAGTGAGGAAAGGAGAGAAGATGTGGAGTGATAACTGTTCCGCGTTTTCACAATACCGTCTCCTGACCTGCGTTTTTAAAAAACGCGGTTTTTTTTTTTTTTTTTTTTCCTTTGCGGAGCTTATGTAAGCTTTTGCGTTTTTTTGAAAAACGCGCTCTTCAAAAAACCCGCGTTTTTAAAAACGCAAAAACTTTGATACCCCCTTATGTCACTTTTCGTGTCCTGCTGGATCGTTATCTTCAGCATCTCCTAGTGTTCCATGTATATGTAAGCGGTCGTATGCCTGAAACCTGAGTTCGGTGATCCTGGCTGATCTCGGTGAGATCAATTGAGTAAGCTCCTGTCAGAGGTTGTGTGCCTGAAACCCGAAATCTGTAGTAAAAAGACAACTACTACTGATCCTATCAAGATCTGTGGTAAAAGGCCCTTATTATTATTCTGGCTGAAATCTGTTGTATAAGCCTTCTATGACTTTTCTTGCTTGAATATGTGGTTGCTTGAAAGTTATTGTAGGTTTTGACTAACTCCTGTGGACACTCCATCCAGAGGTAGCTTGGCATGATCAGTAACTACAGTTACATGGTGAGCACTAAGGTCTGATGCCAATGATGTTAATTTGACACAAGTGTCCAGTGTGTCAATTGAATGAGAGGTGATCCCCAGACCACAGTGGATGGCTGCCTTTGGTTCTATGATTGAGAGAGCCAGACTGCAGTGTGAACTGCCTTTGGTGTCAATCATTATCCAGACCACAGTATGAACTGCCTTTGGATGTCATCAGGAAGCAGTGATACAACACATGCACTATGTAGTTGCAATGCTCTGCAATTGCAACTGTTGATGGAACTACTGATGTATACTTATGTGAAGTTATTGTCATGGGCCTGGATGCTCAAGAAGCAGGAGGGTCACGGGTTCATATGGAAGGAGCACAGGTATCGAAGATAGAGAGCATGGTCGTAGTGCAGTCTCCATGGAGACCATGGACTCCTACAGACTCACATGCAAAGGAGGGCCAAGCACAGCCACGAGGAGGACCAAGCTCAAGGAGCAGGCACAGCCACGAAGAGGACCAAGCTCAAGGAGCATGCAGATGGTTACCACTCAGGGGCTCGAGAGACAAGAGCCAAAGGAACTGTCACTGATCAAAGGAGAAGGAGCAGTGTCGAAGGAGTCGACACCAGGTCATGAGGAGGAGGAGCAGTGTCGAAGGAGTCGACACAGCTCAAGAGGCACAGGGGTGCCAAGCAGGAGAGGCCCCTGAACAGCACTCGATGAAGAAGGTACTCTCTGGAGAGAGAGCAGGAGCAGCATCGCTGGCGACGCTGTGAAGAGGTATATAACCATGCTTTCTCATCATCATAGGTCAAGTGGATCCGCATCCACTCTACTCACCATATAACTAGTTATCACTTCAGCATAAGTATACATTAGTTTCAGTCAGCATAGCAGCAATCTATCAAGGTTGCTCCTCATCATAGTGTGTGTGTTGTGTCATAGGCCTTAGGACACGGGCATGGAGGTTCATAGAAGGGGAGCATAGAGTACCAAGGCTCGGGTCATAAAGGAAGACCACCATAGCAGGCCTAAGGATGGTTGAGCAAGAGGCCGGAGGCCTAGCTGGAGAGTAGTAGCAGGCGTAGTGGGAGAGCAACTTGACCGGCCTGTATGCAAGGAGGTCCAAGTACGTCATGGAGGACCGGCCTGTATGCAAGGAGGTCCAAGCACGTCATAAAGGACCGGCCTGCTGACAAGAGGTCACTGGTAACCGGCAAGCAGCTCATGAGGAAGAGGAGCAGTGTCGAAGGAGTCGACACAACTCATGAGGAAGAGGAGCAGTGTCGAAGGAGTCGACATAGCTCATGAGGAGGAGGAGCAGTGTCGAAGGAGTCGACACAGCTCAAGAGGCACAGGGGTGCCAAGCAGGAGAGGCCCCTGAGCAGTACTCGATGAAGAAGGCACTCTCTGGAGAGAGAGCAGGAGCAGCATCGCTGGCGATACTGTGAAGAGGTATATAACCATGCTTTCTCATCATCAAAGGTCGAGTGGATCCTCATCCACTCTACTCACCATATAACTAGTCAATACTTAGAAACACAAGTACTCATTAGTTAACAGTCAGCATAGCAGCAATCCATCCAGATTGCTCCTCATCGTAGTGCGTGTGTTGTATCACCACTACCTGACAATCCGTAGGCGCCCATAGCAGGTAGCGGTCCGGATATAGATAGAACCGAAGGCAGTAGTCCACTGCGGTCCGGGGATCACTCAGCATTAGTCAGCACACTGGACACTCGTGTTGACGCGACCAACCTCATCACCAATCTCATCGACATTCACCAACAACCTCATCATCATCAACAACAACACCAGACCCTGGTATCACCATAACCTTCATAACATTGATATCGATCGTGCCGAGCTACCCCTGAACGGAGTGTCCACAGAGGTCAGCCGAAACCTACGATAGTATATACCACGAACGCCACCCGCTGTCACTGCACAACTTGATAGTCACCGATACCGAGACAATAGCTGTCGCACAGTTCGATAGTCACCGAGTATCTCGACAGACTGACCTGGGTTTCAGGAGCGCGACCCCTGACATTAGAGTGGATCGTTCAAGCAGCTCCTCACGATCACCATGACGGATCAGGACCTTAACAACAAGCTAGACCGGCTACTAGCACTAATGGAAGCTCAGCTAGAGCTGACCAGACAAAGCCATCGGGAGGAACGACTACGACGAGCTCATCTGACTGAGGAGGCAACGGATCTCTCTCACTCAGAAGACCAAGCAGGAGGAGGAGATGAATCCATGATAGGAGACCCCCATACACCTACTCCGGCGCCACGATCAAGACCATCAGTCTCATTCAACTTGAATGAGCATGCTGAGACCAACTATGAAAAGTATGCTTCCCCCACCGGGCCGAAGTATCTCAAGACCAGGGACCCCTACAGCAGGAGCCGAGTGGACCCTTATGTTCAGGACCAGGAGGAGGAGGCAAGCATCATGGCAGATCGTTCAAAGCCCATTGCAACCCCGTTCCCAAAGTTCAATCCCCGAGACATCGAGATCTACATTCTAGAAGCCGAAGCTTGGTTTAGGTTCAATCAAGTCTACGAGCACACCCGGATGATCAACCACCTGGGTTCTCAATTGGAAGGTACTGCTCGAGAGTGGTGGACCTCAAAGCTACGCTTTGATAGAGCTAGAGAAGGGAGGCTATTCAATGACTGGCAGTTCTTCACCAAACGACTAGCTGAACAGTTCAACCCCCGGAATGCTAGGATGGAGGCTTACAACAAGCTGCTAGCTCTCAGACTCACTAGTGATGCACCAGGAGCTGCCACACGACACGTAGAGCAGTTCAGAGACTTGGAAGGACAGGTCAACCTAGGAGACAACGAGCTAACCATTGACCTCTTCAGAGGAAGCCTTACTCGCAGCATACAGGAGAAGTTTGAAAGGAATCCACCGAAGGAGCTATGGGAGTGGTTCCGGGAAGTCGAAGAGATCGACCGACAAAGGATGCTGTTGCAGCAGGCCTCATCTAGACACATGCAAGCAAACAACGCGTCCTCTCCAGGAACTCGGCCAATCCAGAGTTCAATTCCCGTTCGGCGATCAGCTGCGCAACCTTATTCAACTCGATCACCGGCTCCACCTTATCTTCCGTCTCAACCTTATCGACCGCCACAACCTTATCCGACGCGACACTCCACCCAACCCCTTCCTCACTCAAACAACCGTCCTCCTCCCCATCAACCCACTCCAGCTCCAAAAGGAACCCCGGCACCATCAGGAGGCAGCAACAACACCTGCCATTTGTGCAATGGTATCGGACATTGGGCCAGGAGCTGCCCTAGCAGGAGGGTAGACTCTCTGGGATCACGACCTATGGGACCAAAGGTCATGGTCGTCACCAAGGACCCCCTCGACGAGGCCTCCGACTCTGGAGATGGCCGCTCAGGCAATACCGAGCCAGAGCAGGAGGACATGGACCTCCGGCCTTATCAGCAGCATATGGACTCGGACTTCGATCACGAGGAGGAGCAAGACGATGATGATGACGAGGGAAACGTCAGTGGGGTGATGCACTGATGGCATGCATTGCTCTACAAACTTCCTCGCCATCACTCTGTATATATCAAGATTGTCAAGTATGTTTCTCGACCAGTGGAGGCAAAGCAGTACTGGAGCTCTCTGGAATGGTTCAAGACCATCCTGCTCGAATACTAGCTGATACCGGTGCTGGTTTGTCCATAGTTTCAGATTCTTTCATTAGTAAGTACCAAATACCAACAAAACCCATAAAAACAAGATCGATCCATGGTGTCACCGGACACCAGCTATCCATCAATAGTGCTGCGAGCATGCAGGTAACTATTGGTAACCACAATCTGGGTGTGGTCGAAGCTTCAGTGGCCAACACTGCCGACTACGACCTCATCCTAGGGTTCACTGAGCTAAGGAAGCTCAAGCCCACCATACGATGGGATACGGGCCAGCTGGAGTTCAAGACTCAGGAGCAGGACCGACCCCCGAAGAGACCCCCTGAAGCAGCAGGGGCAGGGGACCTAACCATGAGGAGACCAACCCTTCATGGTAATGAGTTTGTCTCAGCAGAGCGCATACTACGAGCAGCTCTGGAAGATGGACCCATAGGGTTCATGCTGTTGGAGGAACCACCATCATCACTCCCGGCCTTTGGTTTCGTACCTACAGGCACCGACAAAGGAATCGAGATGGAGGTGGAGGTGGACAAGGTGGTGACGGCTGCGGACATACCAAAGCCATACCAACACTTGAGAGATGTGTTCGATGAGGTGGAAGCAGACAAGCTGCCCCATCATACCGAGCATGATCTCCACCTCGAGCTGATAGAAGGAGGCAAACCACCTCAAGGGCCTCTATACCTTAAGGGACCCAAGGAGATGTCCGAGTTGAGGAGGTACTTGGATGAGAACCTCGAGAAGGGGTTCATAAGACCATCGAAGAGCCCAGCACGATCACCAGTGCTCTTCGTACCAAAGAAGGATGGAGGTCTCAGACTCTGTGTCGACTACAGAGGTCTCAACGAGATCACTATCAAGAACAGGGCACCATTGCCCCTCATCGAGGAGCAGCTGTTCTTGCTCAGGAAGGCAAGGATCTATACCAAGCTAGACCTTAGAGCAGCATACAACCTCATCCGGGTTGCTAAAGGAGATGAATGGAAGACAGCGTTTGGCACTCAGTTGGGACTCTATGAGTACCTAGTGATGCCCTTCGGCCTAGCCAATGCTCCGGCTCACTTCCAATCATTCATCAATGTCATCTTCCGAGACATCATTGGAGTATATGTGGTAGTATACTTGGATGACTTCCTGATCTTCAGTGACACTGAGGAGGTACATGTGAAGCATGTCACCGAGGTCCTCACTCGCTTAAGGAGCAACAGGCTCTTTGCTAAGCTGTCCAAGTGTGAGTTCCACACCAAGACGGTGGAGTTCCTGGGTTACATCATCAAGCCAACGGGTATTGAGATGGACCCAGAAAAGATACGGACTGTCAAGGAGTGGCCGATACCGGCGTCTATCCATGACATCCAACGGTTCCTGGGTTTTGCTAACTTCTACAGGAGATTCATAGCTCACTTCGCTCGGATAGCCAAGCCATTGACATCACTGGTGAAGCCGACGGAACGCTTCAAGAAGATTGAGTTGCCGGAGGAGGCCCAACAAGCCTTCCATCAGCTCATTCAAGCGTTCACATCAGCAGGAGTGCTTCAGCACTTCGACTACCACCTTCCAACAAGGTTGGAGACCGATGCAAGTGACTTTGCTATAGCAGGAGTTCTCAAGCAGGAGCATGAAGGACGATGGCACCCAGTGGCTTTCTACTCCAGGAAGATGTCTTCTGCCGAGAAGAACTACGAGATCCATGAGAAGGAGCTCCTAGCTGTGGTCGCCTGCCTCACTCAGTGGCGACACATGCTAGCTGGACTACCTAGTCAACTAGTTATCCTCACGGACCATGAAGCCCTCAAGTACTTCAAGTCCCAGCGACGCATCACTGGCCGACAGGCTCGATGGGCAATGATACTAGCAGACTTCGACTTCATCCTGCAGTATCGACCAGGATACAAAGGTGGTGAACCCGATGCTCTCACCAGAAGGGCAGACATGCAACCAGCTGGCGAAGAGCAGGATCACAATGTGAGGCAACTACTGCCTCCTCGGGTGTTTGCGGAAACAGCGGACCATGACTCGACCCTAGTGGCTCCCATGCTCTCGATGGAGTCCATAGCATCGAAAGGGCTCAAAGACCTGGTCAAGATCTTCCAGCCCTTAGATCAAGAGCTACAGGAGATACACTCGAAGAAGCCCTTCGAGCTCAAGGACGACCTATGGTACAGTGGAGGAAGGTTAGTCATCCCCAAGGTGACCATGCCAGGGAGGACTAACAACCGACACTCAAGGAGTGCCAAGGAAGTAGATGGACAGTCTCTCTCTGTAGAGCACCTGCGATTCATGGTGATGACCCAATGCCATGATGGTGTTACTGCTGGACATGTAGGAAGAGATGCTACCATCAAGGCGGCTCAACGGCACTACTGGTGGCCAAACATGACAGCTTGGATTGCTGACTATGTAGCTAGCTGTCCAGTTTGTGCGAGGTACAAAGCTCCTCGTCATCGTCCGTATGGCCTTCTACAGCCACTTGCCACACCAGACAGGCCCTGGGGCTCGATATCCCTCGACTTCATTGAAGGACTACCACCTTCAAAGAACTATGACTCCATCCTCGTCATTGTCGATAGGCTGACCAAGTTTGCCATCCTGGGCCCGACTCATAAGACAGTCACGGCCAAACAGACTGCAGTGTTGCTATATGGACACATGGTTAGACTCTTCGGATACCCTGATCACATGGTCTCGGACCGAGGCAGGCAGTTCATATCAGGAGCATGGAAAGCCTTTGCAGAGCAGATGGGTGTGAAGCACTCACTTAGCACGGCTTATCATCCTCAAACTGATGGTCAGACAGAGAGAGTCAATCAGGTCGTGGAGCAGTACCTAAGGATGTACTGCAACTATGAGCAGAACGACTGGGCAGACCTGCTGGACACTGCAGCCTTCGTATACAACAACACGGTCCACAACAGCATTGGTGTCTCACCATTCTTTGCATGCTATGGATGGAACCCCAAAGCCCATCCTGACATCCCTCAACAACTAGGAGTCAATGATCCAGGTCGCTTCGAGTACCTCATGGATGGGAAGGAGCGTTGCAAGTATCTTCAGGAGCAGATCAGGGAGGCACAGCGTCGGACGGTGGACCAGTATAACAGGAAGCACAAGGACATCGAGTTTAAGGTGGGTGATATGGTCTATATCAACCGCCGGAACTGGAAGACCAGGCGACCTACACCAAAGCTGGATACCCGGTTTGCAGGACCCTATCCAGTCCAGGAACGAGTAGGACGCCGAGCATACAGGATCACATTGCCAGCAAACCTTAGGGTTCATGATGTGTTCCATGTCTCCATGCTCGAGCCAGCAAAGACTAGCTCACTTCCTCACAGGACAGACCAGCCAATCATACCATCACTTCCTGATGAAGACCTCGACTTCGAAGTAGAAGCACTCATTGACAAGCGCTCATTCAATGGGACTACGGAGTACAAGGTGTTGTGGAGAGGGTACTCAGAGGAAGCTGCTTCATGGGAACCAGTAGAGAACCTCAACTGTCCCGACCTCATCCAGGAGTATGAGGTGTCGGAGGGGGGACGAGTGAGCGGAAGAAGGAGGAGAGAGCAGGAGGAGGAGTAAAGGAGGAGAGAGCAGGAGGAGGAGTAGGAGGAGAGGAGCTAGTATGAACCAGACACAGAAGCATGACTAGCCTCAACGGAGCTCGGCTCTTAAGAGGGGGGTAGTGTCATAGGCCTTAGGACACAGGCATGGAGGTTCATAGAAGGGGAGCATAGAGTACCAAGGCTCGGGTCATAAAGGAAGACCACCATAGCAGGCCTAAGGATGGTTGAGCAAGAGGCCGGAGGCCTAGCTGGAGAGTAGTAGCAGGCGTAGTGGGAGAGCAACTTGACCGGCCTGTATGCAAGGAGGTCCAAGCACGTCATGGAGGACCGGCCTGTATGCAAGGAGGTCCAAGCACGTCATAAAGGACCGGCCTGCTGACAAGAGGTCACTGGTAACCGGCAAGCAGCTCATGAGGAAGAGGAGCAGTGTCGAAGGAGTCGACACAACTCATGAGGAAGAGGAGCAGTGTCGAAGGAGTCGACATAGCTCATGAGGAGGAGGAGCAGTGTCGAAGGAGTCGACACAGCTCAAGAGGCACAGGGGTGCCACGCAGGAGAGGCCCCTGAGCAGTACTCGATGAAGAAGGCACTCTCTGGAGAGAGAGCAGGAGCAGCATCGCTGGCGATACTGTGAAGAGGTATATAACCATGCTTTCTCATCATCATAGGCCGAGTGGATCCCTATCCACTCTACTCACCATATAACTAGTCAATACTTAGAAACACAAGTACTCATTAGTTAACAGTCAGCATAGCAGCAATCCATCCAGATTGCTCCTCATCGTAGTGCGTGTGTTGTATCACCACTACCTGACAATCCGTAGGCGCCCATAGCAGGTAGCGGTCCGGATATAGATAGAACCGAAGGCAGTAGTCCACTGCGGTCCGGGGATCACTCAGCATTAGTCAGCACACTGGACACTCGTGTTGACGCGACCAACCTCATCACCAATCTCATCGACATTCACCAACAACCTCATCATCATCAACAACAACACCAGACCCTGGTATCACCATAACCTTCATAACATTGATATCGATCGTGCCGAGCTACCCCTGAACGGAGTGTCCACAGAGGTCAGCCGAAACCTACGATAGTATATACCACGAACGCCACCCGCTGTCACTGCACAACTTGATAGTCACCGATACCGAGACAATAGCTGTCGCACAGTTCGATAGTCACCGAGTATCTCGACAGACTGACCTGGGTTTCAGGAGCGCGACCCCTGACATGTTGTATCACCACTACCTGACATCCGAAGGTGCCCATAGCAGGTTAGCAGTCCGGATATAGATAGAACCGAAGGCAGTAGTCCACTGCAGTCCAGGGATCACTTCAAGCATCAAGTCAACACACTGGACACTCGTGTTGACACCACCAACCTTATCACCAACACCATCAACCTCATTATCATCAACACTCACCAACCTTATCACCAATGTCATCAACCTCATCATCATCAACACTCACACCAGACCCTGGTGTCATCATAACCAAAGCATTGATATTGATTGTGCCAAGCTACCCCTGAATGGAGTGTCCACAGAGGTCAGCTGAAACCTACGATAGTATATACAACGAATGCCACCTGCTGTCACTGCACAACTTGATAGTCACCAATACCGAGACAATAGCTGTTGCACAGTTTGATAGTCACCGAGTATCTCGACAGACTGACCTGGGTTTCAGGCGCGAGACCCCTGACAGTTATAACTAGTAAGATATGGTGTAGAGTGGATGGAGATCCACTCAACCACTACAATGAAGAGCAAGTGTGTGTTATATAGATGTCCTCACAGTGTTGCTGGCAACCCTGCTCTTACCCTATGTGGTCTCCTCCTGCACTGCTCCTCCTCCTCTTGGCTCTCCCTCCTACAGTCCTGCTTGTCTTACAATACTGCTCATTAACACTGCTTTCCTCACTCCTGGCATATGTAAAGTCCTCATGCTGCTTCATTTCTGAAAGGGGCCTTTCCCACTTCATCTGGGTGGCAACTTGCACCCCCCTTCATCTTGCCCATCCTCCTGCTTCTGAGTTCATTGTTGAGTTGGCCCCCTGCTTCATCAGAGTGGCAAACCCAATGTCCTCAACGTCTGTCTCATTGTGAGACCCATGAGATCAGCATTCTGTCAGAGGTCACGCGCCCAAAACCTGATATCTGTAATAGAAATGCATCTATTACGAATCCTGTCGAGATATGCAACAATGCTTGTGGTATTACAATTCTTGTTGAGATATGTGTCACAGGGACGGCTGGCCTGCGCAAGAGAGTGCGTCAAATGATCAGCGGCAGTTATGATAACATCGCATAATGGAGCAGTATATGAAGGGTGTGCAGAAGATCAACATATGAAGGGTGTGCCAGATTGATCAGAGTCGACAACCATTGGGGATCAATGAGATTAATCAGGTTGGCAGCACACATGATTTACGAGATCGATCGAACCCTGGGAATTCAGATTGATCTCATGGGATTGGTCAGAGTCAGCCAGACCAGTACGCTTCAATGAGTCGGCCAATCTGAACAAGTACTCGGAGCTATGCCGATGACGGAATCAGCACGCCTCAACTAATCGGCCGATCCGAACAGGTATTCGGAGCTGTGCCGATGTCGGAATCAGTCGGATCAGCACGCTTCAACTAGTCGGCCGATCCGAACAAGTCAAGACGGAACTGAGCTGATGTGACCACATGACCAGGGGGTATGGTCATGAGGTTCAAAAGGGGATTCACAAGATTAAGACAAAAGGGGGCTGTGCCGAAAGGGGGGCATCACACATCAGACAGAAGGAGAGCATGAAGGTGAGAGGGCAGTGTTGCATAACCCTTATGCCAAGCAAAATGGTAGGAGCACAGTATCAAAGGGGATGATGCCAGCAGGGCAAGGCAGTGCCTAACAGGGGACAAAGGCCCCTCAAGAGGAGCAGGATAGGTGTTGAGGGAAAACACCAATCGAACATATAAATACTCTCTTTCTACCATAGCATTTGAGTGGACTGGCATCCACTCTGAAACTCAACTACTTACTCTATACTTACTAGGTTATGTATCTTCGCAATAGCAGTGCTCTTGCAATGACTCTCAACATGTGTGTTGTATCACTGTTAGTCAACAACTTTAGGCAGTGTTCTTCACACTAGCAGTCCAGTTCATTACTGTAGGCAGTGTTCTTCAACACCAGCGGTCCAGTTCCTTGCTGTAGGCGGTGTTGCTCGACACCAGCGGTCCAGTTGGTTATTGTAGGCAGTGTTTCACACCAGCAGTCCAGTAACTCATGTCCTCTGTAGGCGATTGGCATATTGCGGTCCAGACGACATCCAAGAGCATTATCAACAGTACTACAAACACTCGTACTGTAGGGGAGGGTGTATCACTCACTCACCAACAAACAACATCTGTGCCATGCAACCTCTGAATGGAGTGTTCAAGGCGGTCAGTCGAGACTTACTAGGCAACAACGCTTGGTTACGTTTAGGCGAATCATATCAAGTAGTCCTTACTCAATCAACCCCAGCTAGTCTCTGGCGCGCGACCGCTTACAATATGTAGTAGAGATGTCTCTATTACTTTTCTCACCCAAAGATGCAGTAATGGTCTTGCTTTTGCAGGTTTAAACTAACCACTGTGGACACTCTGTCCAGAGGTAGCTTGGCATGATCAATAATGTTGATGGTATTGCAAGACACCAAGGTCTGGTGTGATTGAGATAGTTGATGTCATCAACACAAGTGTCCAGTGTGTCGACTGAATGCTTGAGGTGATCCCTGGACTGCAGCAGATGACTGCCTTCAGTTCTATCTTTATCCAGACCACTGGTTTGCTATGAACCACCTTCGGATGTCAGTGAGCAGTGATATGACACATGCACTGCAATGGGAGCAATCTACTTGTGATTGCTACTTTGCTGACTAAAACTAATGTATACTTGTGCTTGAAGTGATAACTAGTTTGATATGGTGTAGAGTGGTGTAAGCGGTTGCGCGCCAGAGACTAGTTTTGGGTGTTATTCAATTGGTATAGATGGGATTGATTGAGTAAGATCTACTCAGTATGTTTTGACTAAATGTAACCAGATGACTTTGTACTGGTAGGTCTTGACTGACTGCCTTGAACACTCTGTTCAGAGGTTGCATGGCACATTTGTTGTTCATTGGAGAGTGAGTGATACCCTCTCCTTACAGTATGAGTGTTTGCAGTACTGTTGATAATGCTCTTGGGCATTGTCTGGACCACAATATACTTATTGCCTACAGAGGATGAGAGTTACTGGACCACAGGTGTGAGCCACCACCTACAATAACTGACTGGACTGCAGATGTCAAGCAACACCACCTACAGCAAGGGACTGGACTGCAAGTGTTGAAGAACACTGCCTACAGTTGAGAACTGGACTGCAAGTGTCTGGAAGACACTGCCTACAGTTGACACCTAACAGTTATACAACACACATGTTTGAGGGTCATTGCAAGAGCACTGCTATTGCAATGGTATGAAACTAAGAGTCAAGTAAGTAAGTAAGTAAGTAGCATGTAGAGTGGATGAGGATCCACTTGTATGCTATGGTGGAATGAGAGTATTTATGCATTTGATTGGTGTCACCTGTGACACCTATCCTGTTCCCCTTGAGGGGCCTTTGTCCCCTGTTCGACACTGTCTCTCCTACTGGCATCGATCCCATTGATGCTGCACCCCTACCATCTGCATAGCATACTGGTTATGCAACACTGTCCTTTTGCCTTCATGCTCCCTTTCCACTTGATGATGTGTGACAACCCCTTTGACACAGCTCCTCCTCTTTGTTTAACCAATCCATTCACTGCTTCCTTCTTTCTTCACTGGTGACCACCTTCCCATCCTTATCTTGTGAATCCCCTTAGCCACCTGTTGGACCTTGTGACCAAACCCCTTGGTCATGTGGTTGTCCCCTGTGCTTGGTCCTGTGTGGCTATATGCATGCACCCCTCAAGCAGTAACCATCCACATGATGCTGAGCTTGGTCCCCTGCTCCTACATGTGGTTATCTCCATATGCTTCTCCTTCTAATGCCAGTACCTTCCTTCCTGAATCTCCTGATACTCGCTCGTATCGGCCGACTTGCTGAGGCATGTGTCATGGGCCTGGATGCGCAGAAGGTAAGAAGATCCATCAACTCATATGAAGGAAGCACAGGAATCAAGGAATTGGGCAGATCGTGGGATTTGCAGCAGAATTCATTGAGATTCGTAGTAGGAACAGTTCTATGACAGATCTCATCGAGATCTGCATGAGTGAAGTTGATATCACGAATCCTGCCAGAATCCACAGTAAGCATGATCATATGGCAGATTCTGTGGAGATCAGTGACAAGGATGTTTGTATGACAAATTCACATGCAAGGAGGACCAAGCTCTGCCAAGACAGGGACCAAGCTCAGGAACATGCAGCTGGTTACCACTCAGGGGTTCACAAGATAAGAGTCAGGGGAACAGTCACCAGTAGGAGAGCTGTGTCATGGACACTGGCATACAGGTCATGAGGAGGATGAGCTGTGTCAAAGAGGTGGACATACAGCTCAGCTAAGGATGGAGGGAATGCTACAGGGACTTCTGTAGAGCACTCGACGAAGAGGGTACTCTCTGGAGAGAGAGCCAGAGCAGCATCACAGGTGACACTGCATAAGATGTATAAAAGCATACCTTCTCGTCATAGGTGGACAAGTGGATCCTCATCCACTCTACACACCATAAACTAGTTATCACTTCAAGCATAAGCAAGTAGTAATCAATAGGTTGCTTCTCATTGTAGCACATGTGTTGTATCACCACTCACTGATGTCTGAAGGCAGTTCCTAGCAAACCTGTGGTCCAGATTAAGATAGAACTGAAGGCAGTAGTCCACTGCAGTCTGGGGATCACCTCAAGCAATAGTTGACACATTGGACACTTGTGTTGATGCCACCAATCACATCACCAACAAGATACTCACACCAGACCTTGGTGTTACCACACTCATGTATTGATATTGATCATGCCAAGCTACCTCTGGACGGAGTGTCCACAGTGGTTAGTTGAAATCTGCAATAGCATTACTACAACTACAGATTTGAGTGAGAAAAGTGATAGAGACAGCTCTATCACATATTTCACTGAGAATCACAATACCACTAGTGTTGTCGCATAACTCGACAGGATCGGTAATAGTATCGACACTACTACAGATCTCAGGTTTCAGGCACACGACCACTGACAGTATGCTGATCCGATCAATCCTCGTGAGATTAACCCGGAACCCAGAGTTTGGTCGATCTCATAATTCATATGTGCTACCAGCCCAATTAGCTTTGTCAATTCCTGATGACTTGGCACTGATCAATTTTGTGCCCCCTTCATATGTTGATCTGTTGATCCTGTGACATTACCATGAATGCTGTCAGTCAATTTGGCGCACCCTTCTTGCGCTGGCTCGTGTCATAGGCCTTAGGACACGGGCATGGAGGTTCATAGAAGGGGAGCATAGAGTACCAAGGCTCGGGTCATAAAGGAAGACCACCATAGCAGGCCTAAGGATGGTTGAGCAAGAGGCCGGAGGCCTAGCTGGTACTAGTAGCAGGCGTAGTGGGAGAGCAACTTGACCGGCCTGTATGCAAGGAGGTCCAAGCACGTCATGGAGGACCGGCCTGTATGCAAGGAGGTCCAAGCGCGTCATGAAGGACCGGCCTGCTGACAAGAGGTCACTGGTAACCGGCAAGCAGCTCATGAGGAGGAGGAGCAGTGTCGATGGAGTCGACACAACTCATGAGGAAGAGGAGCAGTGTCGAAGGAGTCGACATAGCTCATGAGGAGGAGGAGCAGTGTCGAAGGAGTCGACACAGCTCAAGAGGCACAGGGGTGCCAAGCAGGAGAGGCCCCTGAGCAGTACTCGATGAAGAAGGCACTCTCTGGAGAGAGAGCAGGAGCAGCATCGCTGGCGATACTGTGAAGAGGTATATAACCATGCTTTCTCATCATCATAGGCCGAGTGGATCCCCATCCACTCTACTCACCATAACTAGTCAATACTTAGAAACACAAGTACTCATTAGTTAGCAGTCAGCATAGCAGCAATCCATCAAGATTGCTCCTCATCGTAGTGCGTGTGTTGTATCACCACTACCTGACAATCCGTAGGCGCCCATAGCAGGTAGCGGTCCGGATATAGATAGAACCGAAGGCAGTAGTCCACTGCGGTCCGGGGATCACTCAGCATTAGTCAGCACACTGGACACTCGTGTTGACGCGACCAACCTCACCACCAATCTCATCGACATTCACCAACAACCTCATCATCATCAACACCAACACCAGACCCTGGTATCACCATAACCTTCATAACGACATTGATCGTGCCGAGCCACCTCTGAACGGAGTGTCCACAGAGGTCAGTCGAAACCCACAATAGCTGTCGCACAACTTGACAGTCACTGAGTATCTCGACAGACAGATCTGGGTTTCAGGCGCGCGACCCCTGACAGCTCGCTGGCCCTGTGACAGGTGGGAGGAGACCCCTGAGCATGATGAAGTTGGCATAGGAGGATTGTTGCCTCAGCAAGGGGAGTAAGGATAGGAAGGGCAGGATAGTAGTAGGAGCCAGATAGACTAGGGTGGACAGGGAGGCCATACCCTGTAAGGAGGGGGGCCATGGTGAGGTAGACACCATGGCACAAAGATATATATACACCCCTCTGTCATAGTGAATGAGTGGATCTGGCATCCACTCTATTCTTAACTAAACTATACTCTACTGTAACATATACTTAGTTGTTCAGTCACATAGTGCAATTGCAGGCCATTGCTACTAATCTGAGCAGGTGTGTCATATCACCTCACACTGATGTCATCTGTAGGCAGTAGTTACTGTGGTCCAGATAATCACTTCTCTGAAGGCAGTACTCATACTGTGGTCTGAGTTTCTTTCACCAATTCACCATTTGCTCATTGACATCTTGAACACTTGTGTTGGGGCAATGGATCACCATCCCATCTATTAAGTGTTCTGCAACAAGCAGGAGCTGACTGTGCCACATTACCACTGAACTGAGTGTTCACAGCAGTTAGCCAAAACTTGTCAAACAAACAACTCTTCAAGCAGTCTCAGTGAAAGTGGCCAACAGGTGCATACTCAAGAGTGCTCACTGAAACTGGTTGAAATCACCCAAACCAGTAGCTTTCGGGTTCCAGGCACATGACTGCTGACATCAGGCACTTTTCACTTCCACTGGTCGACAGCAGGAGGACACAACAGCATGCTCCAGGCACCATGAGAGGATGGCTGAGGACTATGATGCAATGTTGGCACAGGGCTGGCTGTCCAGGCAATGTTGCCAATTGTCAACACCTTCACATCCCTAGCACCTGTTCATTATCATACTTAGTGAAATCATTCTGCAAATGACTTGATTGACTATGACCATCTGTAACAGTGTGAAACACATGCTAACATGATACTGAAGCTCCCATCAGTATCAATAACATACATGTTATATCAAATTAATTGCCACCTTTGCTGCAGATGTGTTTTTGGAAACATGTGTTTTTTGGATGCTCCAAAATGGGGTGTTAAAAAATGGGAAAAAGTTGTCAAAATCGAGAAACACGTGTTTCTAAAAACACTCGAAATTTGATACCCCCTAAAGTTTGATACCTTTTCAAGGAAAAGGGTAGAGGAGACTTGGACAGAATGGGCTGCTCATACCTCCCCAGACGGACCTTGGTTCTTTTTTCCGCCCTTACCCCCTTATAACATGTATATAGTTCCACACCTGTTCCGGAATAAAAAGTATAAGACTATAAGACTCAGGTCCGATCTGGTCTCGCAGAGCTCTGCAATAACTCTTTCGAGGGCTAGTTCCGTTGTTGACTTGCACTGCGATTTACGATTTGCGATTGAGTGATACAGTGTCCGAGCAAATGATCACGTCCTTTGATAAACCTTCTCTCCAACAAGCCAGGTCTGCAAGATCTTTGTTTTCAAGATGATCTGCTCCTCATCTCCCTCCTTGTAATCTTTGAACAGATCCGTGTCCACGATAACGAAATCAGCGCTCTTGCCTTTCTCCAACGTCCCTGACCAACCCTCAGCCTTGCAACTGTGCGCAGCACCGTAGCTCGCCGCTGCCATCGCCGTAGCAAGCGGTAGCGCGAACTGTGGTGTTGTCTTGCCCTCCATTCCGGGCTCTCTCCCAGACCGTCTCGTCACAGCAGTATACAGATTTGGCAGGATCCAGTGATGAGCAGTTGGCGCATCCGAACCAAGTGCTATGGGTGCACCAGCTTCGACAAATTCGCGGAAAGCAAACGCTCTCGCACATCGCCCCTCGTTAAAGTTGTCACCTAGCATCTTACACCATCCTTCCATGATGCTGGGGTCGCAGTGAACACCCTGGATACTCGCAGTGATACCCAGCCGACCGAGCTTCTCGACGTCCTTGGGGTCGGTCAACTCAAGATGTTCGATACGATGTCGACGATCCCGAATCGACAGACCTTTCTCCGCCAGCTTCTCTTCTAGGGCCGCAATAGCTTCAACGGCAGTGTGCACTGCAAGATCGCCGATAGCATGAATAGCACATTGAAGGTCGACCGAGTCGGCGTACTGTACCACAGAAGAAAGCAATTTGAGTGGCCACATGGTCTCTGCATTGGTCTTGTTGTAGTACGGCTCTTTGAGTGCGGCAGTACAGCTGTCGATAACGCCATCGCAGACTAGCTTGATGCCGACGACACGGAACCACTCGTCGTTGTGCTTCTTGCTGAGCTCATGCGCGTGCTTGACTTGATCGATGCAGGCTTGCAAGTTGCTTTCGGGGCGAACAAACCAGTGTGCTGCAACACGGATCGGCAGACGACCGTTCATCTTGGCCTTGACACGGAGAATGCAGTCTAATGCAAGCGGGTCAAGAGCCATGTCGATACCTCCGGTGAAGCCACTCTTGTGATAAGCATCACATCCACGGAGGAAGGCTGTTTCCTGCTCCTCCTTTGTCGCAAGGTTGGCGAGCTTAGGCCAGACCAAGATGATATTGGCCATTTCAAGCAAGAGACCGGAAGCTTTGCCTGTCTTTGGGTCACGGACGATCTCGCCTCCTTCTGGATTAGGAGTGTCATCCGCGATCCCGAGCTCGTCGAGTGCTGCTGTGTTGCACCAGTGCGAATGGAGGTCGAACGACTCGATGTAGACAGGACGATCAGGAACAACTTGATCGATCCAAGATGCCAGTGCCTTGCCATCAGTGCTGTTCTGCATCCATACGGATGCGAGGATGCGTGGTGCATCTGGCTTGGATTCTGCTGCTTTCTTGATCTTCTGTTGGATCTGGGCGAGAGTCTTGCACTTGCCGATGTCAACTTTGTTGAGCGACTGGCCGAAGTTTAGCAGATGCGTGTGACCATCGATGAAGCCTGGCACGACGAGCTTTCCGCCGCCAAGATCAACTTGTTCGGCTTGCTGCACAAGCTCGGCGGGAACGCTTTCGACATCACCGACGTATGCGATCTTGCTGTCCTGTACTACGAGGCATTCAGCGAAACGATTTGGCAGTGCTGATGTGTCTGTTAAGTCCTGCTTGTGCAGCGAGGTAGCATCAAGCTCCTCGGCCTGGGCTCTGAAGAAGAGGGCGTTCTTGAAGAGCTTCACGGTCATCGTTGCGCCGTTTCCAGGTCGAGTGGATCAACAGGGCGGGAAGATAAGTGCAGGAAAGGATGTTGGAGGAAGTTGCTGGGAGAGGATCAAGTTGGGGCCAAAGCCCATGAGCTGGACTCCTTTATACTAACTGCATAGACCAAACTCGTTGGTGAAGTCGGCAAGAGGTTTGATTGCCAAGGTGATGTCGTAAGAGGGAGAAGGTACGAGCAGACAGTGATAAGCGCTCTTCCCGCGGTTCGCTATCAGCCCCGCCATGCACCGGCGTCTTGGGCGAACGTCGATCTGCACAAGAGCCATGCGACCTGAACCGCAGACTAGATAGTCAAGGTCAGAAGCTGGGCCGAGAGGCGAAGTCTTGAGGAAGCTGTTCGTCAAGAGAGCTCAATATGCAAAGGCTGCAAAGCTGCAGGGTCGAGCTCGTCAAGCTTGCCGTTTTAGCCGGTCTTTCTTCTCTGTTTTTTGCCCCCCTTGCTTTTTGCTGTGGGTTGTCGTCTAGCAAGCACAAGCATGAACGGATGTTGCACAAGCAACTCTGCATAATCTGACGGTTGGCGCCTAGCGCGGCTATCAATTCTTGCCTCGAAGTTTCGCTGTTAGGCCTTATCGAAAATTTAATTCTTTGTCTATTGTTGCAAACTCTAACATAATCAAGAAACCGAAGTGGAGATTGAGACATGTCGGCTGCCCAACGGCGCATCTCCGCAGTGAAATGAAACGGCAGAGAGCGGAAGTTGACAGGCCGAAAAGACAGAGAGAGAGGGAGTTGCTCGCCTGTGTCGTGCCCGTGCCTGACCGAATTGTTGCTGCCGAAAAGAGCCAAGAGAAATCAAGAACAAAAAAGAAAGGAGAGGGTGCATAGCCCACCTTCTCTTCACCTTCATTTCTGATGAGACTGCTGACTTGTCTGCCATTTCTTGACTTGACCTCTTAGATTGGTTTGGACCCCTAGAACTTTCTTATATATCAACGCCTCATCCTTCCTTCCTCGTCATTGCATTCATCGTCACCATAATCCTCGCCGCCACCGCTCGCGCCTCCCACACAGCAGGTACATCATCTTCGCAGTCTTCGACACGAGGTCAACCGGCGCTTGTATAGCCCGCAACCCCCTGTGGCTCCACTCGAAATCGCCACCGAGAAGAACACCTCCCCTGATATCTTTGGCTCAACATGCCGCCGTCTCGAGACCAGCAGGTCCCCGAGCTCTCGTACCTGCCTAGCTATGCTCAAACAAGAGCACCTCCTCCGTCTGGCCCACCGCCTGCCTATGCAAATGTCATCGGCAAGGTCTACCCGTACTCGCTCCGACCCGTGGTGCTCATCACTTCCTTCTGTACCTTCCTCTATCTCCTCCTAATTTCGATCTCCAACTTCAAGGACATCAATAACTCGGGCAACAACACGATTATGAATGTCTTTGGCATTCTCACCGGTGCACTCCTCATGACTGTTGCTATCATTGAAGTCATCGGATTTGTAGGCGCGCTCAAGACCAACCTCAAGCTCGCTACGCTCTACTCTAGGTTTGCCATCCCCGGTTTTGTTTTCGTCATCTCTTGCGAGATCATCAACATTGTCGGACACTACTCGTTCAAGGACCGCATCATCAACGACTGTGTCTCGAGGAACACGGGTGCAGTTGTTCAGTCCTCTGGCTGGGGTTGGTTAGGATCAGGAGGTAGCAGCACCGTCATGTCTGCCGCTGATGCGCAGAACTACTGCAACAGATCATGGAAGTATGCCTCGACCTGGGAGATCGTCTGGCTCATTGTCACCATTGTGCTCGGCGTTCCTTTCGTTATGTTCAGTTTCGCCTTCGTGCGCCAGCTTCAGGACCCAGCATCGGTACGAGTGCGCGAGTCGAATCTCGGATGGTGGGACCGTCGCAACAACCAGCCTCCCAGCGCGCAATACGGCACCCAATACAGCTCGGGACCTTACGACCCACAATCACAGTCGCAGGCCTACTCTTACCCACCTGTACCTTACGGTGCGGGCATGTACGCTCCTCCCAGCAGTCCCCCGCCCAACGGTGTCAATCGCGATCTTCCAGGCTACAAACGAGGGGACATGGCAGGCGAATTTGACGACCGCAAGAGTCCGGTCACCAGCCCGATCGGATACGGCTACAGCGGCAACGGTCGACCTAGCTCGAGTCGAGACCGTGATCCAAGGCAGAACGATGCAGCGAAGGACTCGCAAGTTACGATCAGGCTCGATGATGATGTTGATACCAAGAGCAAGTCGTCTGCTAGAAGATCTGACGATGATGACACGCCGAGGGTTTGAGCAAGTAGATTGACTATCGAGCCTTGGTCGTGTTGCCCCTTTCATGATGATGTTCTCGAACGTCGCCGCCATGATGAGTATGTTTCGCTCTGTATTCTCGGTTTTACAACTCTGTATTGCCTTCTCGTTCAATGTCATTGCTTTTGCATGTTCAGTGCGATGCTTTCTGTGCTCTCTAGGCGATCGACAGCGTTGATTGTTGCTGAAAATGAGCCGGTCAGCTTTGCTTAATTTAGGTCAAGGAGAATCGGAAGCTTGAAGGTGACTCGCAGCAGACACTGAGAGACACACGAGCCAGGTTGAGGTGGAGGCCATCTGAGCCAAACCAAAAAAGGGTTCGGTAGAAAAATCAGCGCACGAGCCTTGTTCCAAGTCATCCCGACAACTTACACTCCAAACTTGCATATTTGGTAAGACACACATCAACTTCAACCAACTCTTCGACATACTCAGCAACACCCCATCTCCATCACAGCCATCCTTTGGCATCCATACGCTCTCTGCATCACTTCCCATAACCACTTCAGCCACTCCAGTCGATGCTCTCTATAGCAAGGCGAAGCGCCATCCGACCTCAATCTCGTCTGTTCACCTCCCTGCTTAGTCTAAGCCTTCTTCGCTTATTCTCCTCCGCAGCACCTCTCGCATTCTCCGCATCCAAAATGGACGCCCAAGTCAAATCCTCCGATCCGACGAAAGCCGCCATCACCTCTCACAACCAGTACAAAACCGCCGGTCTCGAGCGTGATGGGCTCTCACCCAACCCCATCGTCCAATTCAACAACTGGTTCAAACATGCCAACGAAAACGGCGTACCTGAACCTGAAGCTATGACTATCTCCAGCGCCACCGTAGACAAGTCTACTGGCATTGCACGACCATCATCCCGCGTGGTGCTACTCAAGCAAGTCGACCCACAAGGCTTCCTCTTTTTCAGCAACTACAACTCTCGCAAGGGTCGAGAATTGGAAGCCAACCCATACGCCTCTTTGGCTTTCTACTGGAAAGAGCTCTCTCGATCAGTTCGAGTTTGTGGTCGAGTGGAGAAGCTCCCCGCGAAAGAATCCAAAGAGTATTACGACTCCCGCCCATTGGGAAGCAGGATTGGCGCTTGGGCAAGCCCACAATCAAGCACGATCTCTTCAAGGCAGGAGTTGGAACAGAAAGTGCACGATGTCGAGAACAAATTCAGCGTTCCAGGTGCAGCTGGGCTGGACGAGGGGAAGAAATGGGAAGGCGATGAAAAGAGTGTAGATGTTCCACTACCGGGCTTTTGGGGTGGGTATAGGATTGTCCCTGATGAAGTTGAGTTCTGGTGTGGAAGGCCGAACAGGTTGCATGATAGGTTTAAATATACGAGGGATCTGAAGAGTGAGGTACCGGCTAGTGAGGATAAGTGGACGATTAATCGTCTTGCGCCTTGAGAGATCATAATTCACTGCTTTGTTTCGCAAAAGCAATGCTGTAATGCCAGCCGTGAACCAGGCGAAGAATTCTCTCAAACAATGTGGTTGTACGGGTATGTGCTGTTGTGGTTGCAATGTGAGATGTGGAGATGCTTTATTGTGCTACCTTGCCGACAATGTTGTATCGCTTGGTGTAGTACGAGTGCTATCATATCGAAAGCAAAGAAGACGTTGAAGTCTTGTGTCAGTATTATGTCCATATCGTCATGAGATCCGTTGGTGGAGAGGCTACTCACCCAGTCATCAAGCACCTTACGCTGCTTGTCATCAAGGGTGCTGTAGTCTGGAACGGCATCCTCAGGCTTGAGCGAAGACATGCCTAGGCCTCGTGAGCCGTCCTTGCCTGCGAAGATGTGGTAGCCCTTGCCCGGTGCTGCAGCGGCACAATGTAGCGATACAAAATCAAAGAAGAGCGGGATACTTGTTCAGTTTCCAAGTCTCAGCTTGCGGAAAAGACGTAAAAACTACTTACCGTACATCTCGCGCTTGGGCGAGACGTCAAAGACGGTGCCCTTAACAGCGACGTATACCGGCTTGGACTCGTCGGTTCCGTCGTACTGCTTAAGATCATCGACGGGGATGGGGTCGTCCTTGGGAGGGCTGTGGTTATTGAGATGCCGGCACATGGTAGTAAGAAGGACGAGTTGTCAGTCATTGGTCGAGATAGCCGTGCAAGGAGCTGCAGCTCTTGCTGTCCAATGGGATGAGACTTACTGTGTTGGCTTTGTCGAAGGCTCCATCATCTTGTGTATTTGGTGCTGTGTCGATACGGCAGGATGGTGTAGCTGAACCAAGATATGAAGGTGCCAAGGGTGCACGCTCCAGTTGATTGGCTTAGGGAGGCTACAGATTCGTGCTCTAATTTGCCCCGGATTGCTTCTTTCAACACTTCCGCGGCCCGTTCAATTTTTCGAAAATGCCAAACTTGTTAGACCTGCATATCCCACAAAATAGATCTGACCCAAAAAAAAGAAAAAAAAAAAAAAAAAGTCGTTCTGAACAGCAGAAGTTTTTGGCGCAAATGAACGTCACTTCACATTTCCGTGAGGCAAAAGAATTGAAGATAACAATTAATACACGGCGTTATCGGGGTCATGATCAGACTCCCTTTACAACAGCTGTATGTTCTATGTAATGCTTAGTTTTCATAGTGTGAACCTAAATGACAAACACATATATATACTCCATTTGCCGCTCTAGTCCTATCTGAGATGGGACATGTCAGTTCATTTGTACTCCTATGTTGCTATGATACTGAGTGCCACTGAGCTGTCACCATGACAACAATCATGTATCTCATTGTGCTTCTCGCTTAAGTAAGCCTCCTGTGCCTTGGTGTCTTGGCTGTGACATGTGCATCTTGCTTGAGTTGCCAATGCATCTTCAACTCCCCCCTTTGGCAGGATCTCCAGCCCTATCATCCTAGCCAATCGTGAGGTGTTGAGACCCTGTAAAGGCTTTGTCAAGACATTTGCAACATTGTTTGCTGTCCCAACATGTTTGATTGCCACATCACCCTCTTGCACATGATTGCAGATGAAGTGATACTGTGTGTTGATGTGTTTTAACTTCCAATGTTTGGCTGGATCTTTACTCACCTGCATGCACCCCTGGCTATCAGTGTATAGTATGGGCTGAACATCTGTGATCTCCAAATCCTGGAGCAAATATGAGAAGAACAATGCTTCTCGCACCGCTTCGGAAGCAGCAATGAACTCTGCTTCAACTGCCGACAATGCTACACATTTTTGAACATGAGACTTCCAACTCACTGGACATCCATACACATATGTTATTGACCCTGAGGTGCTCCTTCATCCATTTGTGGGGTCAGATGCCCAGTTTGTGTTGGTATACATTGTTACCAGTGTATCTGAGTGCTTGTTTGCCTCCCCTCCTAAGTGTAACTGATATCCATTCATCTGGTTCAGGTACTTTACCATGTGAATGGCTGCCTTCCATGCACTGTCAATCGGGATTGACATGTATTGTGATAATATGCCAATGGCAAAGGCAATATCTGGTCAGGCTGTGTTGGAGACCCATAATAGTTGGCCAACCAACTCTTGATACTTCTTTGCTTGTTGAGGATCACATCTCTCACCTCCGGCGATGTTCACAATGCTCAGCATAGGTACCCAAGATTCCTCTTTTGCTCCTCCTAACCATTTGTTCACCATTTCTTTGATGTATGCTGTTAGACCCAGAGATATCTTCCTCTGTCTTCTATCACGTGTGATCTTGATACCCAGAAATTCTTTGATTCTTCCATTGTCTTGCATCTCCCATTTGTCCATGATCTCTCGCTTAGTGCGGTCTACCTCATCACGACTGGGTGATGTTATCAGCATGTCGTCCACATATGCTGTAATCAGTGAGTTCCGATAGGGAGGGTAGACTGAGTGTACTTCTTGGAGAACCGGTGAGGAGGCTCTCCTGAATGGTTACCTGTGATACCCAATGAGTGAGGCCCGGGGAACAGATGTCAACTAACCACTGTTGGCACTCCATACAGAGGTAACATGGCAAGTTCAGCTCCTAGCAATGGTGTAGTGCAACGTTGGCGCAAGTGTCGAGATGTTGACATAGCACTGTTAGTGATGGAGCTAGTGCTCGGTCATTGTTGCTGGCAGCAGTTAGGTTATAGGGACTGGTAGAGGTTCCAGGCCTGTGGTGGAGGTTCCACCTGTAGTTGAGGTGCTACAGTGTCAATGTAGGTGTCAACGACATCATATACAGTACTCTTCGTTTGACGACGAAGACTCAGACTTGTACTGATCACAATAGATGGAATTGCAATGTGCAACATATAAAGAATGTTGCTGTTTGTGTAGTATAATGTATGGTTACGATCACTGTGAAGTTCTTTTTAGTAGAGTGGATGAGTCTCCGCTCATCCAGTAGCATGGAAGGATAGTATATATACAAAACTGTACCGAAATCGCAATCTAGCACTGTCACATGACCTGCATGTGACATCGCTCAGGCCTTGCTTGGTAATGCTGACTTCAGCACCTTTCTGAGCTGCCAAGCTGACTACACTTCCAGAGTGATTGTTCCCTAGCAATTCATCAAGTGTCTAATTGTTGTCGATCAACAATGTTGACCTCCCACATGCTCGACAGGGTGGTGCTGCTCAACAACCCTCCCATCTGTTCCTGCCACTGGTAGTCCCCGATGTCCAGCAAGCTATGGTCATCTACTGGATCTCCCTGGGATCTGCTGAGCCAGGCTCTTACACTGGCCCTCAGCCAATTTAACCTCTCTGTCTGCACAGATGGCGCAGACTCCATTTCGGCTGACCGGCTCCCGTGACACAGGTTCTTTCTCCGTTCCGGTCGCATCGCTACGAGTCCGAAGGATTTACTGTCAATCTGGGCTTCAGTGATTGATCCTTGTTCCATCACCTCCGCTGTTCCTCTGCTTAACCTTTCTTCTGAATCTGTCTCCATATCCATGTATTCTTGTAGTGGCCCTTCATCTGTTTTGTCAAATATATTTTCTTTGTTATATCCTAGATCTTCAAAATTCTCTTCTGTCATCATTGCTGGAGGTGCCTTTGTGTCAACCAGTCGCCACTCCATTCTGTCTGACCAGCACTTTGATTCCATGAATTTTGCTGAATTGCTCCAGAACATGTTCAGATTATAGTCTGGACTGTAGAATAGCCAGCCCTTTCTCTCTAGACTGTATCCCAAAAAAATGGATGTGAGGGCTTGCTGGTCCAGTTTCTTGTTGTCCTGTTTGACTTTGGGTATGTTTACCCATGCCAGACAACCAAACACTTGTAGAAGTCTTAAAGCTCGCTCTGGTGACTTGCTGAACATGGCTTGGTAAGGGAATTCATTATCAACACTTGGAGTGAGGTTTATTTTGAACACCACAGCTCTGATCACATATGGCCAGAACTTCTTCAGTAGTCTCCTCTGCATTAGCAATGTCCTTGTCTTCTCTCCAAGGGTCCTGTTCATTCTCTCCACCTGTCCATTTTGTTTACTGTTGTATCCTACAGTGGTTTGCCACTCTATGCCCCTTTCTAATGACCATTCCAATGCATCATTGCTTCTCCATTTGGTTCCTTGATTGGATCAGATTGCTTTTAGCTTCCGATCCGTCTGTGTTTCCAGGAATGAAACAATCCTTTTGAGTTGCATAAATGCATGGCTCTTTCATGTCAATGGCTGTGCATACACATACTTGCTATGATTGTCGACCAGCACTAATGTGCATGTGTACTCTGTCATGTGGGATGAATCTATTATTAGATCAACATGGATAAGATCCAGGGGCCCTATGGCTCTTTCACTGCTACCTTGCCCCATTTGAGTGCTTGTGCTCTTGGATCATATGCACTGCTCACATGTCAGAGCAGTGTTTGGATCCAATTCCATGGTGTGCTTATCCTTTAACTTGCTCATGATCACCTTAGCTTTATCCCTCCCTGGGTGTCCAAGATGCTCATGCCATAGTTGTTGCTTCAAAACTTTCGGCTCATTCTCAATATGCTCGAACTCCTCATCAACACCTTCAAACAATGGTGTTGATGTGGCCATTGCGCTTTCTTGCCATGTGTTGCCTTGGAACTCCAAAAGTCCTCACTTGTGATTCTTTGCAATCTTAAGTGTCATGCTGTTTGTTAGAAAAATTTGACTGCCAGTTGTGTCCAATATCACTCGTGCTCCTTCATCCATTAATGAATTCATTGACAGAAGGTTAACATTAAGGTGCTTCACATATAATACATTTTGTAGGGAGATTTCCCCATAATCTGTTGATATGCTTGCATCTCCTATAGCTGCTGCTTCCAAGACCTCGCTTCCAGCAGTAATTATCTGCTTCCGGCAAGTTCTCAGGTGGATGAGCATGCTATAGTCATTCACCATATGATAACTCACCCCTGAGTCCAAGATCCAATGAGCTGTCTCTTTTGTGTTCAGGGGGTCTTGCCACTTCAATGGGAGGGTGAGGGAGCACCACACTTCCTATTTAGGTTTAGCAAGGCGGGAGTCTTTGGGGATGGTGACCAAGGCGTCGCATTGGCTAATACCATGCCCGGGTCGCTTGCAGATCCAGCATCAGATTCAGCATGGTCTGCCTGCATTCCTCAAGCTCGCATGGCTGTTGTTGGCTTTGGCTTCGGTCTCTCCAGTCCATTCGTTTTGATCATCATTGCCAGCGGTTCTAGCACTGGCTTGTTGGGGGTCAATCTTTTGCATGGGGATGCTCTTGACAGCAGTCTGCCAGATGCTTAGTGCAGTGGCAAGAGTGTTGAAATCGATTTGATGGATGGTAGTGACCATCTCCTTATACACTGGATACCAGATCATGCATTTCTGCAGAGCCGAGAACAATGTATCATCAGCAAATGGTTTGCCGAGGAGGCTGCTTTCAGTCTGTATGGACTGGATCTCTTGAATTAGCTTTCTGGCATCCGAGTGAAACATCTTTGTATCATTGAGCTGCAAGATAAGTGCAAGTCTGTGAGATGTCTTGGTGGCTTCATTCGTGAGACCGTTTTCGATCTTTCTCCATACTTGATTGAAAGTAAGGTACTCTTTGATTACATCTAGAACAAGGTAATTTACATTGTGTTCTCCAGTAGTGTCGATTGTTCCATGCAGGGCATTAATTAAAGCATCATCGAGGGAGCGGCTCCATTTTGGGTGCTTCTTGTCATATGTTCCCTTGAGATGTTTCATTGCATGGGGCACAGATTGGAGGAAAGATTTCACGTGAGTGCTCCAGCTATAATAGCTGCATGACATGAGCTTTGGCATGGGTTTGAGGAGTTTTGCTAGGGTGCAAAAGTTATATCACTTGTTGCCATCATCGAAGTTGGAGTCAGAATCAGTGTCTTTGTCAGCTTCATTGTTGATGACCTCCAGCTCATTCTCATTTGTGGCATCATTGTCTACCTGAACCTGGGTGTTCTTGCCTTTTCTGCTTCCTTTGATCCTTATTTCGGTGTCTTCTACCATTGTTGTTGATGAGTTTCAGTTGGCTCAGTGATAGCTTCTTCAGACTCTTAATCAATTGAAGATAACAATTAATACACAGTGTTATCGGGGTCATGATCAGACTCCCTTTACAACAGCTGTATGTTCTATGTAATGCTTAGTTTTCATAGTGTGAACCTAAATGACAAACACATATATATACTCCATTTGCCGCTCTAGTCCTATCCAAGATGGGATGTGTCACTTCATTTGTACTCCTATGTTGCTATGATACTGAGTGCCACTGAGCTGTCACCATGACAACAATAATGTATCTCATTGTGCTTCTCACTTAAGTAAGCCTCCTGTGCCTTGGTGTCTTGGCCGTGACACGTGCATCTTGCTTGAGTTGCCGACGCATCTTCAACTAAAAGGCAGTTCTTCTCTGTCTTTTCGTTGCTGTCGTGCGGAAGGTGATCGATTTTTTCCCCTACAGCTCAGAAGCTTTGCCTTTTGGCCATTCCACAAATCTCCACTCACACCTCTCCTTCACCACCAAGCACCAGCCAGCTGTCATCTTGACCACACATCTATATCTAACTTTACGCTTACTACGACTCCCTACGCATACATCTCGCTGCAACAGGGCACTACGACAAAGCTTGCCCTACCTCACCCATTCTGACCGCGCCGGACTGAATCCGAGCAAACACATTCCACCAACATGACGACGGTTCAAAAGATCAAGGAGATTGAAGATGAGATGAACAAAACCCAGAAGAACAAGGCCACATCCTATCACCTGGGTCAATTGCGTGCTAAGCTCGCCAAGTTGAAACGAGAGCTCATCACTCCCTCTGGTGGTGGAGGTGGTGGGCCTGGTATTGGATTCGATGTTGCCAAGACCGGTGTAGCTTCGGTCGGATTCGTCGGTTTCCCTTCCGTCGGCAAGTCGACGCTCATGTCAGGCTTGACAGGTACTACATCAGAAGCAGCAGCATACGAGTTCACCACCCTCACATCAGTTCCAGGAACCATGAAGGTGCATGGCGCTCCGATTCAGATCATCGATTTACCCGGTATTATCGAAGGTGCAAAGGACGGTAAAGGTCGTGGTCGACAAGTCATTGCTGTAGCCCGAACATGCAACCTTATCTTCATTGTGCTCGATGTAGGAAAGCCGCTGAAGGACAAAGCTATCATCGAGAACGAATTGGAAGGATTCGGCATTCGACTCAACAAAAAGCCACCCAACATTGTCGTTCGCAAAAAGGAGAAAGGTGGTATCGCCATCACCAACACTGTTCCCCTCACCAAGCTCGATCACGACGAAGTCAAAGCCGTACTCAGCGAATACCGTATCAGCAACGCCGACGTCTCCTTCCGACAAGACGCCAACATCGAAGAGCTCATCGACGTTATCGAGGGCAACCGTATTTACATCCCTGCCATCTACGTTCTCAACAAGATCGACTCAATCAGCATCGAAGAGCTTGACCTGCTCTACAAGATCCCGAACTCAGTACCCATTTCATCGCAGCACTGGTGGAACGTGGACGATGAGCTGGTGGAGAAGATGTGGCAGGAACTTTCTTTGGTGCGAGTTTACACAAAACCAAGGAAGGCGGCACCGGATTACTCGTCGCCAGTCGTGCTCAAGACAGGTAGGAGTACAGTGGAAGACTTCTGTAATGCTATTCACAAGGAGATTATCAAGCAGTTCAAGTTCGCAATGGTTTGGGGTAAGAGTGCTAAGCACCCAAGAGGACAGCGTGTCGGTGCGGATCATGTGCTGGAGGATGAGGACTGTGTGACGATCTTCAAGCGCTAATCTCAAAAGCATTGTTAGCGTTCGGCCCGAGTCTCGTTCGTTACTTTCACCCTATCTGGCCTGTTCAAGTGCTGAACTGTCCGTCTCTTTCGCCAAAACTTCACGTTGTGATCTTCCGCCATTGCATGCAATCCCGCTTTCTCTTTGTACTTTTGCATACCTTTCCACTTCTTTATTCAAGGTCATTCACAAAGCAAACCCATCGTGATGTTTGCGTTCGGACTGTATCCCTTTACACGATCTTCTTGAAATCAATCTCGACGTCGATCTGAAGCTTCCAAATTCACACACTCTCACGCTTGCAAAGACGTTCAAAAGACAAAGGAGCATTTCCGAAGAAGATACAATACATTCCTTCATCCATCCTTCATCCTTCCGTTGTCATGCACTTATAAAGCAACCGTCTTGATAAAGTCAGCGTCATATCTCTGACTACTAATCTTGAAGCTGTTAATCACACCATCGATCTCTGCGACTTCTTCCTTGGTCAGTAGAATATGAGCTGCCTTATTGTTATCGATTAGGTTCTTCTCCTTTCTTGCACCCGGAATAGAAAAGATCGTGGGTGATTTCTGGAGGACCAAGCAAGAGCGATTTGACCTGGGGTGGCGTTCTTGTCCGCAATCTTGCGAATGTCGCCGACCAACTCGAGATTCTTGTTGAAGTTTTCACCCTGAAAGCGAGGGTTGTATCGACGGAAATCACCTTCTTCGAAGTCCCAAACCGATTTGTACTAACCTGTGAGGAAACCGCGTCCGAGGGGGGAGTAAGCGACGAGAGCGGTGTTGTTTTTAACACACCAATCGAGGATCTCATTGTAAAGAACTTCGGGGGCCCAGGGAGAAAGTTTGATTTGAAGTGCATCAATACGAATCACCTTGTTGGCCGCCTCTAGCTGCTCCAACTTATACTCGGAAACACTGATGTATCGAACCTTCCCCTGTTCTTTGAACTACTTCAACGCCGCAGCCGTAGCCGTAACTTCAACGTTAGAGTCTGCTCGGTTGGCGTAGTACAAATCGATCTTGTCTACGCCCAGTCGCTTAAGCGAATCATTGTTTGCCTAGTGTAACCACTCTCGGTGTACTTCATGATAAACTTGGTGCAGAGGAAAACCTTTTCGCGCGAACCAGGATGGTTCTTGAAGAAAGTACCAATTTGGTTCTCGTTGTAACTCTACTTGCCGCTTCCGAGAGGAGAGTAGATATCGGAAGTGTGCCAGAAGTTGACTCCATCGGTGAGGCAACGGGAAAGAACGGTGTCGACTTGGTCTTGACTAACAGGTTCACCGTAGGATGCGGCAAGACCCATGGCTCCGAAGCCGATACTGCCGACTTGTTCGCCGGGCGAATGATAGATGGTGATGATGTTAATGCCGCACATTATCCGAGCTATGCAGTCTCATGGAGTGTATTATTTGCTGTGTAGAGGTTTCGCTGAGCTGAGAACCTCAACGTTGCCATTGATTTGGTCTGCTGTACCTATGCTGCTGCTTTTGTTCGAGACTGAGCTGGTGCAAAGACGTGCAAAGGGTAGAGGGCGATACTGTTGATGCCACACAATATTTCAGCTATGTATGTGTTAGTTACCGGCTCTGTGTCCTGTGCAGGACTCTCATCACACGCCAACGGGTGCTCGATGAGCAACAGAACCTGACCGTGCTGGACGGTTCGGGCTTGATTCACGCGATGTCAGGGTTTCAGCTACAGAGCGAGAAGCAGAAGCGGACAAGAAGTGCATAATGGCAGCAAACAGCTGGGTCAGGTAGGCGGCTTTGGCCCACTTTTAAGGGCTGAGCAAAGACATGCTTGCTTTAGAACGCGATCATGTTGATCCCTCACATTTGTCCCGCTTCCTCTGCAACCATTGTTATCGTCGGTGGCATTGGTCAAACCCATCTTGACACTACGACGCCCTTCCTTTCAGCCAAAGCTATCAGTCATTGACTCGGTGCTCTCCAAGGCTTTAAAAGTGTGTCGCTGACGATACCCGGCATCATAGCGAAGACAAAGTGACGCTTGCTCGCCAGTGGGATGAAGTGCAATCGTCACGCGGCGTAGCCTTTCGTTTTGAGCAAGACCGCAGATCAATAGAAAACAAAGGCATTGATCCCGCACATGAGATAGATGCAAAGCTCGTGGGAGCACATGCAGCCTACGCTCGAGGACTGACACCAAGACATACAGGGGGTATGTTGACAAGGCACTTTGTGTTATTTCGGCCTCCCGGTCCCGAATGCTCTGATCTAACATGTCGGCCCTTAGAAATACCGACGTATCTTCAACTGCTGACTGTTCAGATCGAGGGTGCACCCAGAGGAGACGATTCGTGATGGTTCAAGCGCCAGGACGTAAGCTGAAAACACTTATAGCTCTGTGCTGGAGAGTACAGTGAATTTTAGCAAGCTTACTCGTGACGACTCGCCTTCAGCGCAACTTTTCCGACTGCATGCGAGCAGTGGAAGCCTTTGGACGTGCAAACACCGGACTCTGATAGAAGGCAATAACGTCAATGCCGCACATTATAAGGTCAGGCTTTGTGGTGGACCAGACTGGTGATGTTACAGCTCGCGCATAAACCGTCCGAAAAATCATCGCATTACTCAATGAACAGTGTTGAGGATCCATGCTTGCCTTATACCGTTGGAAAGCTCTGCTTTCACTCTTTCTGATCGTAAAATCATAAAGCTGTGTATGCAATTCTATGTACAGTGAATAAAAGTCGAGAATTATTTTAAAGTGGGGCGATTTCTGGAGCGCTATATTGTGTTAAAATAAAGGAGACACTCGGCGACGATGATAGGGAGATATCAGTCAAAGTACGGTGTTCAAGCTAAAGAGCAAAACACTAACTATATTGACATACTGAAAATTAATGTGGCGGGAGCCTCGAGCTCCCTGCTAGATTTATATACAAACGTGTGGCACATGCCCGACTGTGGGCGTATCCTACCTAATGACAGTGTGTAACAACGAGCGGGACATGGTTGTATCCGATCTCTGTCTTGTATCGGCTCAGCCCGATTCCCGATCAGATTTGCCTCACGTGATCCCGATTAGATCTATTTTGCCTGATCGCCGACTGAATCTGCTCCGCCCAATCCTTTACAGATCTGATCTACATCACTCCGAGATCGGACTGAGTTGAGGAAGTTAAAGCCGCACAAAGCGTGGAGACAGTGAAGGTAGTGCTTACGGCCGAGTAGAAGGACTAAAATGTGTCACAACCTACTCAAGGCAAATGCTTTGTTATGCTCCGCAGTTAATGCGGCTCTCCGCCGCTCTCCTTTTGTATATATATATAGACTCCTCGCTCTCTCGCTCTCTGTCTCTTACCACCACCATCATCGTTAAATACCATACTCCTCAACTGATTAAGAGTCTGAAGCTCAGCAGCTTCCAGCCCACCGCCACCAAGATAGAGTCTGAAGCTCAGCAGCTTCCAGCCCACCGCCACCAAGATAGAGTCTGAAGCTCAGCAGCTTCCAGCGCACCGCCACCAAGATGCCACCAAGAGTAGACAGCGTAGCGCTACTCGAACGCACAATGCAAATGATCAGGGAAACTCACATCGACTGGGATGAAGACCAAGTCCTGGAGCGCGCCTTCTCGCTAATAAACATCCAACCCAACACCAACCAAGCGGAGAAGATCCCCAAGTCGGTGCTCAGCATCATATCGCAAATCGTCAAGCTCAACGAGAACAACTGGGCCATCTGGGAGCCGATGTTCATGGACTGTATCCGGCCGGTCAAGAACGCCAAGCGGATCCTCACTGAGGAGATTCATAGGGGCCACACCGACTATGATGAGGAACTGGACAGCCACTTGCTGGGCCTCATCCTATCCTCCTGCGACCACGGACCCACCAGCCGCATCGACACCTACACAGTGCGGGAGCAAGGTGAGGAGGAGCAACTCGGCTCTACACTCTACAGGAAACTCAAGGCCGCACTCACAATAAACGACGAAGTTAAACTCTCCGCCATCCACAACCGAGTACACGAAGTAAAGCTAGCCCAGCGGAACATTGTCAACCTCGGTAAGGAGCTCGACCAAATCTGGAATGACGCAGCCAGGCTCGGAAGCCGCATGGACGAAAAGCTCAAGAAGTCTACTCTGTACCGCTGCGTCAAGGACGACTGGCTCTACACCCAGACAGTAGACTCCCTCAAAGCCGCTCAACCTGGTTGCAGCTACGAGTATGCCTACCATGCACTAGCCAAGAAGCACCAAGAAGCCGAGCTCTCAGGTCGTATCCGAGCCACGGCCAGAGTTGCAAGCAACAGAAGTCCGGCAGGCCAAGCTGGCGAGCACAGGCAGGTCCTTAACCAAGAGGGCTACAACAGGGGCAGGCGTGACCCTGCGCACCCTAATGAACCGGCCAAGTGCTACAAGTGTAGGCAACCCGGGCACATCGCCATAAACTGCACCAACAGCCAGGAGCGAACCCCTACTCAGCAGGAATAGGGACTCGGGTGCACCTCCTTCGTAAGCAACACTGGCAACCGCAACCAAGACAGCACGTGGATTCTTGACTCAGGAGCTACACATCACATGGTACGTGATGGGGGTAAGCTCATTGCTTCGACGCCGAAGCAAGGATCCGTAGACACTGCTGGGCATGAACGGTTGCGGGTACAGGCTATAGGCGATGCAACTTTGCGAGTAAGAGACGTCAAGATACCGCTCACTGATGTACTTCACGTCCCCAACCTTAGCAAGAACCTATTGTCAATCCCAGCGCTGACTGAAAATGGTGCACGCGTGATATTTGAAGAGTCTGGAGCTACTATCCTCCAACACGATGGGAGCATGGTCAAGAGCAAGACCAACCGGCGCAAGAAGAGATGGGAGGTCTACAGCGACGCCCTAGCAGCACAGCTCAATGATCCCCTAGAGGGCATTGATGCCACCACAACACCAGCAAAGCCCGCAAGCCACACAACGAGCAAACTATGGCATGAACGATTCGGTCACCCTGGCAGGAACAAGACCAAGCAAATCCAGGCCCACTACTTAGGAAAAGAGACACAGCTTGGACATGATGCAAGGGACTGCAACTGTTGCAGCCAAGCAAAGCAAACACGCGCAAGAATGACAAGCAGCAAGACAGAGCGAGCCCAGGCACCTCTGGAGCTGGTACACATTGACCTGATGACGGACCTGAAAGGCCATCCCAACTACCACCACGCATTGATAGTTGTAGATGACTCGTCATCTTACGTATATGTGAAACCACTCCTCAGCAAGGCCGAAGCGTTCCCTGCCCTAAAAGCATGGATCAAGACGGCAGAGATAGCAACGGACCACACACTAAAGTGCATCCGCAGCGACAACGGAACAGAGTGGTCCAGCTTTGGAGCAGAGGAATGGAAACGAGAAGCAGGGTTCAGGTGGCAGAAAACCACACCATACGTCAGCGCCCAGAACAGGAGAGCAGAGCGCATGATTAGATCCCTTCAAGAAAAAATGCGTGCAATGCTGGTTCAGAGATCGGTACCAAAGGAGCTGTGGCCCTACGCCATCATGGCCGCAGGGCACACACTGAACTTGACACCCTCCACCGAAGCAAATAGGGTTCCATACGAGGACTTCTATCGCAAGTCTGCGCATGGTTTGGCCAAGCAGCTGCGTGTCTTCGGTTGCCTCGCTTGGGTCCACCTCCCCAGGAAAGATCACGCAGGAAAGCACGGCGTAAGAGCAATCCCAGGAATCATGGTCGGATACGATGACGAGCACAAGGGATGGAAATTCTTCACCCCCGGCCACTCCCCATCCATACGGTGGAGCAACTCAGCCACATTCCACGAAGCCAAAGGTTGGCATGATCGCCCCAGCGTGCAGAGCCCACTGCAGTTCGGGTTCGAGAGCCTCGAAGCAGAAGGCACTAGACCCGAGGCAGATAGCGACAAGCCCGAACTGGAGGTGGAAGTACTCGACATGGAGGATCCACTCCCCGAGCCACACACTGCACCGCCCACCGACCCTACCGACGACAACAGGTCGGAGCTCGATGTCGAAGAGATGATTGGAGAAGCACATACAGCCGCCTTGAACCTCACGCCGACCTTAAAGGAAGCACTTGCCGGTGATGATGCGCAACAATGGCAGGAAGCCATACGCAAGGAGCTAGATGGACTCGAGGCAATGGGAACATGGGAGATAGTGGATGTTCCACCAAACACTAGACTGGTCGACTCCAAAATAGTCCTTCGGCTAAAATTGGATGCCGACGGCATACCCGTCCGGCACAAAGCAAGACTCGTCGCACGGGGCTTCACACAGCAGAAGGGTATTGACTTTGAAGAGACCTTCGCGCCTGTGGCACCACTCAGCGCAATAAGAGCCCTGTTATCCTTGGCAGTAGAGCGCAACTGGGAAATCCATCAGCTCGACATCACAATGGCTTACCTTAACTCCACGCTCAACCACATGATCTACATGAAACCACCGGAAGGCGCCAAGGTGCCGACGGGGAAAGCCTACCGAGTCATCAAGGGACTATATGGTCTTAAACAGTCGGGACGGGAGTGGAACATGGAATTTGATAAGTTCCTGCGACGTTCAAACTTCCACAGGCTCGACTGCGCACCATGCATCTACACCAGAGGAGAAGGGGATAACTTCGCAATAGTGGTCATCTATGTCGATGACACGTTAATTATAGCCCCAACCCTAGAAACAGTAAGGCGCATCAAGGAGGAAATAGGCCAAAGATGGCGGATGGAGGATGGCGGC